GAAACACAAATAAAAAATAGAAACAGGAAGTGGAAACATTAGAACTGCCATCCGCCAAAGTGTATCATAAACCAATGACAAAACTATTATAAAAAGGTCTAAAGTGACCATCAGAGGGTTAAACACTGCATACCAATCTGTGGAGTCTGATTGGCAAGTGCCTTATCCAGTTTCACCCTGGCAGTGAGGTCTGACACTTCCCATTGACGAAACTCCGGCGCAGTGGTCACATTGATCAGATACTCCATTACAGTGTCACTGTGAGAGGACACACAGACAACATGATTTCGGTGGAAGAAGAGATCACACTAATCTTTACACATTATCAAACTAATCATATTTACTACTCACATATGATCTCTCAGGCAGTCTACAGTGTACACCACATTCTCCCTGGAGCTTGACACACTGCACATAAAAATATAGTATACACATTTACTTACTAAGTATACCATAACAGATATGCTTTGAGCATAGTAATGCACCAAATATATTATGCCAGTGATTGGCAGGTCTGTTCTGATAAGGTCTTAAACAGGAAAAGGGCAAAGAACAGAAGGTAAAAGTGGATCCTGAAGCAAAACCAGTTGAGAATCACTATTATCTCATAAATAATAGAAGTTCAGAAGACAATATTCTGTGACACAGTCAAACTGACCTTAAGCTTCCCCCAACAGTCTCAACACCACGGCAGATCCTGAAGGCGGATGCTCCCTTGGTTGTCTGGAATCAGCAGGATAGAGAAGTGAATGCTAATAGAGTCACAGCACACTAGCAGAACAGCAGTCAAACAGAGTCATGATCGATGTATACCAGACTGGCAGCCAGACGAAGCATGTGTGTAACACCGAGGTTGTCAATCGACTCATATCGGCTTCCGGCCCTGACAAGCACACCAATCCGAGAAGCAGGAGAATAGTTTTCCAAGGAAGCAATCACTAACCCACTGGACAATTTTGTCACCTGGAATGAGGAAAAGAAAGAGTGTATTTACACCTTCTAATTTGTTCCAATTGCTTACTAATATTGTTTTGGCATTTACAAGCCAGGTTGAACATTAATATAAAATTACTGATGTGACACAATAGACTAGAAGACTTGTTTTGATTTTCATCAAACATTTGACAAGTTTAACAACATTATGTTTATTTATATTTAGCACAGATGACTAAAAGACTCTTGTCATTACTCATCTCATTGCACAAGCTAATGATGACCCGTCATCAGATGATTGATTTCACCTGTAAATTTTCATTATTTTATTTTCTATATTATTAGAAAGTGTATTTCTTGTGGATGTTCCAAAAGGACTAGAGAATTTGTTTAACTTAATTGCATGTTATATTTTGTTTGTATATGGGAGTTAATAAAAATATAACTATTTTGAAATGTTAAAATTTATATCACCAAGTTGGAATTTGCATTTTGATTCAATATTTATCTATAAACAGACAAACAATCAACATTAATAAACGCCTAAATAGCATCCGCATGATTTATTTTTAGTTAATTCAATTTTTCAGGTTAATTACCCATAAACGTGAACAATCACACAACATAGACTATTTCTATAAAATAAAAACAAATGATAACAATTAAGATTTGAAATTTAACATTTGAAATACTGCTTATAGAGATTAAATTCACACATATTTTATAATATTTATTCAATAAATAATTGAATAGAATTAATAGACTATGGATTACGTTTAATATTAGTGCACTTATGGGGATATAGCTCAACATATTATGTAATCATGTTAAAATGTTGATGTCCACATTTATTTAAAGTTACCTGAAAACAATGACAAACAAATTATTGGAGCATATCTGTTCAGTTTAAAAACGACAGCTTGTACATTTCAGGGAATACTTTTACATAAAAAAGTTGAATAAAATAATTTGTTTAATCACAAACTTGCATCCAACTACTTAACTCTTCCTGGTATTGCAGCACATATTTCAAATTCACCATGGGCATGGCAAATTCAATTCAAATTTCATAGACAGTTCCTAATATTAGAACAGAACCCCCCCACGCACACATACATGAACATCCTGGTATATGCGAGGAGCACTTGCCGAGACCTTGACGCCCGACAGAGGTACAGTTAAGGGCTGGTCCCTTTGAGTGGCCGCATAGAAGCGTCTCTGTGGAGAGAGAGACAAATCATCATCTACTGACCTGCACTTCCTGCGGCAGAAACTTTACTGGCTCCACGGCTGCCGCAACATCCACCTTACGGGCAGCCTGGGCTGCATAAAGCCTCCTCTGAAAATCACAAAAGACATCACGCCTCTGAAGAAAGAGTGTGTGCAAAATAACAGAATAAAGAGGGGAAGAGCGAGGCACAGGATGGCTACTTAACCCGTGTTTCTCACAAACAATAGGGTTGATGCTTGGGTAAACAAGAGAGATACAGGCCTTTCTTTTGTGAAATGTGAGTATAAGTCATAATAATAACACCAGAAATATGTTATTAAACATTCTAACCTGTGTGATGGTCTTATCTAAAAGAGGCAAGAAGTAAAATTATTATCATACAGTTGCTCCACCTAACTCTTACAACCTTACATTTATGCTTATATATATATATATATATATATATATATATTAGTATATTTATGCATGTATATGTGTGTGTGTGTATATATATATATATATATATATATATATTAGTATTGGTCAATACTTTTAAAACAATACTGTACTAATTTTTGAAAAAAGTCGGTCATCAAGGTCATCAAGCCTGCATTTATTTGATCAAATATACAGGAAAAAAACTGTAATGTTGTGAAATATTATTACACTTTAAAATAATGCTTTTCTATTTTAATATACTTTAAAATTGTATTTATTTCTGAGATGTAAAGCTGAATTTTCTTAATGTCTTAATGTCACATGATCCTTAGGAAATCATTTTAATGGGCTATATGCACGCATAAGTTCCGCATTTGACGCAAGGATGCTCGTCCATTTCCGGTTGTGGAGATTTAAGCGGTGGAGAACAGAGGAAAACGGGATTATGGCAGAGTCTTCAAAATGTACTGTCCTCCCGTCTTTGAAACGAAACGTACATACGTTTAGATGTAATTTTATATATAGTTATGTTTATTTAATATAATTTTAAAAAGAAGCATAAACACAACGTTTTATCTGTTTTTGTTACTGACGTTTCTTTATTATAACCATGGAGTATAAAATTCAATATAAATTCTCGGTATTGCATTGGACTCTACGATCGGCGGAAGTTATCGAGCATCCTTAATCCTTCACCGGAAATACCGCCGTGCATAGAGCCCATATGCTGATTTGATACTCAGTTATTGTCAATGTTGGACACAGTTGTGCTGCTTAATATTTTTTTGTAAGCTGATACTTTTACCAGGATTAAATAATGAATAAAAAGCTAAAATGAACAGCATTTATTCTAAATATGAATCTTTTCGAACAATATAGATAGACTAAATCTTTAATATGACTTTTTAATCAATTTAACACATCCATAAAAGTATTAATTCTTTTTTTAAAAGAAAAAAAATTACTGACCCAACTTTTGAACAATAATTATTATTATTTTTTTAATAAATGCTGTTCTTTTTAAAATCTTTTTATTTGTCCAAGAATAGTGAAAAGGTATCATAGGTCATAAAAAATATTAATCACCACAACTGTTTCCAACATTGATAATAAATCAGAATTATAATTTAGAATGATTTTTGAAGGATCATGTGACACTGAAGACGAGTCGGCTGATGAAAATTCAACTTTACATCACATAAATAAATTATATTTTAAAGTATATTAAAATAGAAAACCAGTATTTTAAAACTTGTAATAATATTTCACAAAAATAATAAAAATAGTAATGTTTCCACATTTTTTACCAGTTCTATATGTATGTGTGTGTGCATACAAGCTATTAAACTTTGGGATTAATACATAGCATGATAACTAAGATGAGTAAACTCTCTCACACACACTTTATTTCATGATGTCACTCTTCCTGCTCTAATACTGCTGGCTTGAAGTGCTGTCATAAGGAATGCTTAACGTTATAGGTCTATGGAAATGTTTAAAGAAAAAAATGCGTAATAAATACAAATAAATAAAACGAAAGTATAAATAAAATTTAAAAAACTATACATCTAACAGTACAGTGCTATAATGAGTATAAAAATAATCGTTGGTTTTCAAGAAACTATATAGACGTCTTTTAAATCTAGGATGTGGTTCCGTTGCATCTAAAACACGGAAAGCCGCTGCAATACATAACTGAATTTAATATATGGATATAATGACCAAATTATAAAATGACATGTTGAGAGCTGAACTGACAACTGTATCTCTAGTGAACCAAGTATGTCATCGGGTATATCATCTTGAGAACCAAGCCCAGAGTCTGCACCGCCTTCACAAAACAAGACACAAAACTATGCAGCAGAACCTCTACTAGTCATCTTTAACCCTGTTAATGAAATTCTCACCGATAACTGGCTTATTTCCCGGATCCCCCTCATCTTCTCTCTCTCCTTCAGACAGACCACAGTAATGGCTGACCTAAAGATGTCCTACCCACAATGCTTCGCTCTCTGCTTCTTCTTCTTGTATTTTAATGGCGTGCTGGTGTCATGAGCACATGTCGCCACCTACTGTTCGTGTTATTTGCATTTCTTCTGATCCCAAAGACAAAGTAAAAATAAAATAAAAACCCGCTGACGCTGCATGTTCAGCGATGGATAAAACTCTAAAACTGACCCGAGATAATGCAGTTAAAACGTCCAGTAAAGCTCCAAACAAAAGATTCATGAATGTTCAGAAGAACTAATAGCAGCTAATTTTTATTTATTATATAAGATATTTTATAAATATATATATTTATAAATATTTTTTTAAACCTTAACATCATGTAAGCCATGACTTTCACATAGAGGACTTTCATGATGAAATGTAAATAAAAATCGACTACAGGAAGTGGGTTGAAGCGTGAGCATGCGCAGTATGTTTTTCACTAACACGTGTTACGAGACACAGGAAAGCGGGTAGCAGGGCAGATCTCTAAGCTGCGTTGGTCATAAAAACGATTTATTTAGTTTATTTGGTCAGCTTTAGCCTTTTTCTGTTCACGTAAATAGTACTCTCCTCCGTGAAGCTATTGCCGAGAGGACCTGTGTGTATCTAAGTTAGTCACCGGCGCAAACGCAACAAACACGATGGTGAGTATCACATGTGGGACTTTATAGTAACGTTATTTCTCTGATTCGTTAACTACATTCAACGTTTAGATGTTCTAATTATGCCTGCCGAAAGTATGTTCATAACCGTAAACATTGATTAAAAAGTTAAGGTTTATGTTTTTATCCATTTTAGCTGTATATCTGAATACAAACATTGTTGACCTGATTCTAAGTGTCCCCCGGTTAAATTTGTGTAACGTTAGTTGGGTGTTTTGCTGATAACTATTTGTTGTTTTATGTTTCTTCACACAGACTGAAGCTGAAGTGAACCCTAAAGCCTATCCTCTGGCAGACGCCACGCTCTCCAAAACCATTTTGGACCTTGTGCAGCAGGCGTCGAACTACAAACAGCTGAGAAAAGGGGCCAATGAAGGTAAAGTACCTCCACGTGATGGATGTTTCTCCATTAAGACCAGTAACATCTATGATAAAAAAATAGTGCATTTTAGGCTACTAGCAATGGGCGCTTTCGAAACACTTCGTGAAGATTTTTTTTTTTTAATATATATATATATCTATAAAAAAACTAAATTCCGATGGTTCGCCGCTGGATGGCGTTGATCTGGTGATCCCATAGATGAGTATTTAATGGTTTTAACTGATCTCAGGTCAGTTATATAATATAGGTTCATCTAATAAATTGCAATACTTATGCGTGTACAATACATACAAATAAGAATGTGCTATATGTAATTCATCTAGCCCTACACTTATTATTCAGATTCTTTAAATTTCATGTATTATTGTATTCCACTTTCATGAAAACATTTTTAATTGGTTTTTGTAAAAGATGTAATTTATAAGTTTGTCATATTTGCATAGTTTGATACACATTTTTAAAGAATCTTAAGCGTTCACGCTCCTGCTTGACCGAAGTGTGTAATTTCATTTAATATATCCATTCAAAGTTATTATACATTTATTTTTCATTATATTAACTTATAGAGTTAATAGAACTTGATAGAATTTATTAGAATGGGAGACAAAAATAACTGATAACCTCAAATATTACACAAAATTAGTAACTTAATATAAGATCAGCTAAATTATCTAAATATTGGGAATGTTACTTGTGCCTTTTCTGACTCTCGTTGTCTTCCACAGCCACTAAAACTCTTAACCGTGGGATTTCTGAGTTCATTGTGATGGCGGCTGATGCTGAACCTCTGGAGATCATTCTACACCTGCCGCTGCTGTGTGAGGATAAGAACGTGCCGTATGTCTTTGTGCGCTCTAAACAAGCTCTCGGACGTGCATGTGGAGTGTCAAGACCTGTCATTGCCACATCAGTCACCATCAAAGAGGGATCGCAGCTGAAACCTCAGATTCAGTCTGTGCAGATGTCTATTGAAAGACTCTTAGTTTGAGCTCATACCTTTTACGCCTTTGCTTTCAGGTTTTTTAAACAGTGATCTCTTTTTTTACTTTGTTTTTGTTTGTTTTTTCTTGCATGCTAAAATTAAGCAATGTTGAGTATGATCCTCAGTTTCTGACAGCCGAAATAAAGTTCGGTTAAAATTAAATTTGTTTGGTTGTTTGTGCAGTATGAACATTTATCAAACCCATCTAACATTTTTAAATGCTGGCTTTTTTTTTTTTTAAAGTAAAATGGTCTTCTATTTTCTGGTGTTATCTAATGCTAACTGGAGAATGTTATTGCATTTTTTTTCCATAGTATATATAAGTACAATAAATACTGACAGATGCCCACAAGATATTGGCAAATGTACTTTAATTGTATATTAAACATTGGAATTCACTGTTCAATCATTTGAAGATTGAAGATTATTTTGGTGGACATCTTAAACTGGTCTATTTTTTATTTTATTTTTAATGCTTAATTTTTCTTGATGACTTTCAAGTCACGCAAAATGAAAGTGAACAAAACTGAAGCATTTAATCTTCCTTTAAGCCAATACATTTTCTTCAAGCTAAAACATCTTAGGTTAATTGTGATGGGGGTTTTTGATGGTTACTAATTGTGCATTGCAATTTGAGTTTGAGAAAAAAGACTAAAACGTAGTTTTGTTTGGCTGTACATTCAGCCACGTGACTTCCAAACAAGAAACAATATTTGTATTACATTTCATTAGTTTTTACATTTTTGTTACATAAATAACTGGACGATAAGGTCTGAAAATGACACCAGTGAGCTGTTCACAAAGAAGTGTGACGCCACATGTTGTGTTTGGGGGTAAATATGCATATGTAACATAAACGTTTAAAGTCGCGTTTCAAATGTTTTATTTATTTGTTTTTCTTTGTGGTTATGTATGAAGACTTTTGTTTTAGATATAAGATGAAAATGCGCGTGTTGGACTCAAACGAACCAACCACGTGACTTTGGAACCAAAGTCCAAAACAAACAAACCGAGAAGTTTTTGATACCAATATGGCAGAGTCTCCCGTCTTATTAAACAAACATGAGGTGGAACATTGCCTCAGTTACGACGATCTGATTCCCAGACTGGAGTCTATCATGGGAACGTTTTCTAAACGGGACAGTTCTGAAATTATCCAGCCTGTGAGATCTGTGGTCCCCATACAGCAACACAATGGGTATGAATGAATCCATGTTTCAAAATATTGCTATCGTTTACTGACATATTTCTATAGAAGTAAACTCTTGATGCATTCGTCAGGTTTTTAGGCGTGATGCCTTCATATCTGGCCGCTGAGGGTATTTTATGCACAAAGATGGTGACTTTCTATCAACGTGCACAGGGCTCCAGTTTACCATCAACTCAAGCCACACTGTTACTGTTCGATCCCGAGCATGGGCATGTCACAGCGGTGAGACATACAAAGCAAAGCTCATTCCTTGGGAAAACAGATAGCCTTCATATCGTCGTGTGCACATCTGTACATGTCTGAGATTTACTAAATTGCCATCTTTGTCAATCACAAGAGTCTATTTAAAACCTTTAACTAAACTTGCAAAAAAAAAAAAAATGTAGCATAGAGGTTAACCATAGAAAATATATAATAATATCATTGGATGTCTGAATTTCATTTATCCTCCCACCCATCCATTAGTGATGATCAGTCATTTTACTATGGAGGATGGCCACAATACCATCCTACAATAAATAACTGGATAAATCCGGAGCATATTAAAGGAAAGTAAATGTTAGAACAGCATACAGTAATTCTGCTCTAGAAATGCTTTAGTTCTGTAACTGTATCTCTAATGTCAGATAATGGATGGGGAGGCCATCACAGCCAAACGAACCGCAGCAGTGTCAGCCATTTCAGCTAAAGTAGGTTCATCTCAAACAGAACCTAAATTTGTTATGTTGTAACATATAAAGTCACTTATTCTGAATATGTTTTCTCTCTCCAGCTGTTCATGCCAGCTCTTTCAAAGGTGTTGTGTATCCTTGGTTCAGGGCAACAGGCTAGAAGCCATTATGATGTCTTTACTAAGGTCTTTAAGTTCAAAGAGGTAATTAGTCTGAACATGGGAAGTATGTCCATATATCCAGGTTATAAAAATTTTTTTGTGTGTCATCCAGTGTTGTATTTATTTCAGGTCCGAGTGTGGAGTCGAAGGAGAGAAATGGCTCATCGGTTCGTTAATGATCTCCAAGGCCCTGTTAGAGTTTGTTCTTCGGTGAAGGAGGCTGTGATGGGAGCTGATGTAATAGTCACTGCCACAGGTGCTAGTGAACCGATACTCTTTGGCGAGTGGGTCAAATCAGGTGCCCACGTAGCAGGTCAGTTGGCCCACAGATTTCCAATAGATATTTTGTTAGGATATTGTTTATTGTTATGCAATACGCTACAAGTGCCTATGCTATACTGTGAATATAGTCACAACAAAAGTTAACTGTAAAGATGCCGTCATATTAGCTATATTTATGAGAAATTTAGCAGGCAAAATAACGTCCATTGTCAAAAGTGTAGCAATATTACAGAGCCATAACTACGTGGGCAATCCCAGTACATGTTCCAGCTTAAGGTCCTTACCTTAAGTTCATTCTCCTATGATTTTCTATGAAAAGCCCCAAAATATAGCTTTAAAAATAAATTGTGTAGTAATGTACTGTACATATCACAGCTCCCACAGAAATCCCTTTCAAACCAAGCAGTTTTCTTTTGGTGAAAGTGGCAAATTTGCTTGACCAACTTGAACACAAACCTAATCTGAGTACAATGTTCATTGTTCAGGGAAAAAGGAGCAAAAATAAAACTCCAGCCTTTCATGGATAACTGAAACAAAACATAAACTAAAAATGAAGCAACAACATAAAGTCCGAGCCTGGTCCTCTCTCCTCCTTCACGTCACTCCTGCACGTTCCTCCTTCCCGAGTTTCGGCACCAATGTAACAATGTTCATAATTAGGAGAAGGTGAAGGCGGGAACCGGCCAAAGATGAACATAAATTTTGTAATAATATAAACACAACGACGACTGCCGTAAAAACAAAAATAAAGCAACAATATAAAGTCTAGACGTGTCACCTGATCCTCTTTCATCTTTCACTGTCATTACTCATCCTTTTATCCTTCCGGAGCTCCTTCGTGGGACTCGAGACGGGTGTGGCGTGTGTGGCGCTCCATTCTCATGGCTCTCTTCCCCGCTCTGCTTCTCGTCACAATCTGCGTGTGGAACATTTTCAACTTCACGTAAAACCACAAACTGATTTGACTGTCGCATAAAGAAATTCAATGACTTCAAGGAACACTAATTAATTATTAGTTTGCATTCCAAACAGGAAAAATCCACCTCCAAAGGGCACTTCAAACAGTCATGGCCGACATATTGAAGGGTCTTTCTAAACTGGCTACTTCAAAGGGCCCTTCAGAATGAAGGATTTTGAAGGGTACAGCCAATGGACACTTTGCTTCCATTTGTGCAGGCAAGCTGCATCTAAATACTGTTTAAGTAATATAGTCACAAGAAGTAAAGTAAACAATGTGCATAGTAACATGATTTTAGTTTTTAGAAAATAACTTTTGTTATCTTGTCTGTGTAAAGTCGTATTCAATTTTACAACTTTGTTCCCTTGACAGTATAATGCTGTAAACTGTAAATTGAAGAACAACTTTACATACAAATTTTAATAGAATAGTTAATGTAAGTGCTATTATAAAAATAAGCTTTACATTTCTGCTTAAATCCTCAAAAATCTATTCACCTCTATTGTAAATGCCTCACTGGAACCTCGATTTTGCTTCTTTCAAAAAAAAAAAAAAGAAAAAAAGGATGAGTTGAAATTATTGTGGTAATCAAGTCAAATGAAATGAAAGACTCTCTGGTGACATATGTAGAACTTCTCCGAATATTTAGGGCACATGCAGTGCGATTTATCCTCTTTACTTTTTGCACAACTCTTTTGACTTAGCCATATTTCTAACAGGCAGTCAAACGTGACACTCAACAAACCCAGCCAGGTCAGATATTTCATGTGTTCTAGCCCAAGTACACTTGGTGCAACTTATGAAGCCCTTGGTTAGTTGCATCAGATGTACTTGAGACAAAACCTGTTTTGCAGATTTGTGCTGTTGTGAGGGATTCTATTTAGGCGTTTGACAAATTTTGAGGCTGCAGAAGTCAAGTGGCATTTTCAGTTGAATTTGGGGAAACCAATTAAACATTTGTTGAGTAAACATTTCAGACTGTAACGAGTGTAAATAAGGTGTGGCCCCTTTAAGAGCTGCGCGCTGAATTGTCTGCAGTGTGTGCGCCTCAAACACCCCATGTGTGCGGGTAATTTCTGTTTGATGCTTATTCTTTTATCTTATTTTGTTTATTAAGTAACGATGTGATGGTAGAACGTGTGACAGTATACGAGTTCGATTTGTGAGATGTCAATCGCCTCCGTGAGTCTTTCTGGCCTCTGCAATCCACAAGTTTCCGAGGGGCGCTCCTGTAAAAAATAAAGTGGGTGAAACTTCCGGTGAGGCGGAATTAATGGATTAATTTCGCTGCCTTAATAGTGGCCTCTCTGGGTGCTGTGCAGTAATACAATAAGAAAGTAAACTGTTGTTTTCCATCATAGTTGTTTACTACATCGTTTTTTAATATATTGCGGGGATGTTTTGTAACAGCGGTTGGCGCTTGTCGTCCAGACTGGAGGGAATTGGATGACGTCTTGATGAGAGAGGCTGTGGTGTATGTGGACAGCAGAGAAGGGGCTACAGCAGAGTCAGGAGACATAGTTCTGTCTGGAGTATGCATCACTCCCTCTAATGCTGTCGGATCAATAAAATGCAACTTATTCCACCAACATTTATTTGAGTTACCTTACAATACATGTCCAAAGTCCTAAACATTTAAATTCTCATTATTTTTTTCCCCAGGCTCAAGTTTTCGCAGAGCTCGGAGAAGTTATAAATGGATCCTTTCCTGCTCAGCGTGAGAAGACTACGGTATTCAAGTCACTGGGTAACTTGTTTTTCCACAGCTGTGATCCAAAAATCAAGATCAAAATGTACTGAAGAGAAAAGCATTCTCGTCACTGATAGGAATTCATAGTAGCTGAACATGCCTTAAAAAGCTTGATGTTTGCATTTCAATCCTCTCAAGAGACGATAAAGACTTTTTTCCTATTTATAATTTTTATTATGTAAGCTCAAGCAATGCCTGCTGATCTTTAACCAGAAATTTGGGTTGAGTTGCATTTCTTGGTAAGCACAATTTAGTCCAGGGGCCTCAATTATAAAACACACAAGATCAGATTTGATTCTAAATTCAATTAATTTCATTCTACTTCGAAATTAAGAAATTTGATGTGAAAATGTGTACACATACACACATTTAACATTGATAAACTTATGTGCTTGAACTTAAGTTGATTTAGAAAGGGAGATGCATTTAGGAACATTTTTGTACATACGGTCGTTCTATGAATCGTTTGGAAATTGTTGTACGTTCACAATTAAGGTCATTCTATGCACATCTACAAAAGTAAGGCCCTTGGAAGGATAAATTTGTCTTGTGTCAGTGGAAACTGGAGAAAGCTATTTGTGTTGACTGGATATTTTGCATTTTTAAATGCAGGCATGGGGATACAAGATGCTGTCTCAGCCAAACTTGTGCTGGAGAAGTGGAACAGCGAACATTGAAGAAGCAGCCAGCAGTTTCCTCCGCTGATTGCACAACAGGAGAACTGGCCCCAACTGAACCTGCAGGCTTTTTTCTCCATTCTGTCACCTGATCGAGTTCAGGTTCCTCACCACTGTCACCTCTGGCTTTCTTAGTTGGGGACACTTTACTGTACATTGAGAACTGAATTGGACGATGACATCATTTTTGGCTGAGCTGCTTTATAGACAAATTGAACTAATTTAATAATTAATGATAACTGAATTAACACTCAAATGACCTAAGCTGAAATGCATACTTTTCCTGTTGTCACTTTATAGTTGCTTTGAAACAATCTCCTATATAAATAAAGGGGACTTGACTGGAATAGTCTCATCTGCCATGGTGGTGGCGGTGTCTTTCCCACAATGAACAATCATGCAAACAAAACCGCTCTCCCTCTTTACATAAAAATGACTTGTGCTGCATCAGATATCACATACTCTATTGTATGTACTACATTAGATTTGAAACCATTTTTTAAATACAATGAGGTATAGCCAACACTGTGACAAATGAATTCCTGGGCCTAGTTACGTAGATAAACTAATGATTTCAGCAGACATGAAAAACAAAAGACAAAGACAAACGTTTTTAGATTGGGTTTCTATTTCAGACATAAAGGTTAATACATTGTAGTTTTAGTGGAGACAGTAAAGCAAGAATAAGCATTTCAAACTGCCATTGTTACAGAATTTTCTAATTGAAACATTCCATGTGCCAAATTACAACCGTTTTCTTTTTAACCAAGACCAACTGTAAGTTTAATACTTGATGTCCGTAAGTCTTACAACAAATAAGTTGAATTACTGTTCTCAAATATCCACTGCATTTATCAGCAGCAATGTTCATGGAAGGATATCAATCTTTAGAGGATATATAAACCCCATGACAGTGTCTACAATATAGATATTTCTGACATGCTCAGCTTACCAACAAAATCCTGGTCTGAAGCTAGGCACTGGTAGATCTGTAGTCTAAATACAATACTTGGACTGTAAAATGGATAAAACACTGCCAGACTGACTAAAATACAGTGAGATCCACCCTTCGGAATATTCAGATACAGTAGTGAAAATAGGCTATATGCTGACAAAACAAAGCTATTATATGCATTTTAACTAGGTTTGTATCTTATACAGTTAAACAAAATAAACTCTCCAACATGGGAACCATAACACATCGAACCAATAAAGTGTTTTCTTCAGCTGTCCTCTAGTAAAGTAGTTCCTTCAATATTACTGCAATCTCTGACTCTTACAAGTACACAATTAAAACCCCCTCCCTTTAGAAATAAAAAAAGAAAAGAAAAAGAGATTGTTAGTGTGAGCAAATTGAAATCAACGACTTGGTTTAACTTTTGGCAATAATTCATTTTCTACAAAAATGCAGATTGTAAACAATATAAATGGGCTCACAAAGATGAAGGAACAGAAAGGAGTATTTAGTTTCTTAACATCAAAATGAGGGGAAAATAAAGAAAATCATTAGAAGGCAGCAGGAATTTCTTAATGTATGATGGGAAACAACTATGAATGCTGGTCCCATCCTTCAGAAGCAAATACTCAGGTGTCTTAACAGCTAGTTAGTGGTGTAATTCTAATTACAATGCAAGAGAGAGAAATATCTGTATGTTTCTTCCCCAACACACATTTCCCATCATCCCTGCCTCCATTGTTCTCCTCTCAGGTGAGCTCAGATTGCAGTTGGTGCTGTCTGTGCAGTCAGTTCACAAGATAAGACACCTCCTCTTTCTTTTCTTCACAGGAGGCGGGCACAGGACCGCACGGATGGCTTCATCGAACACCGTCTTAAGGCCGCGCTGTGTTAAGGCTGAGCACTCCAGGTACTTCACAGCTCCTGCAACCGAAACAAAAGAAAACTTAAAGTGGATCCAGACAGCTACGGCTGGGCGAAGTATACTCAACCGCGGATGAGCACTTTACAATTTAAAATGGAGATTTTGAATTGAAGATGAAATAAAATCGATGCAGCAATATCGTCAACCCAGCCCTAACATACACACGTGTAAAGAGCAGTGTATTATTGAAGTGCTGACCTATTTCTTTGGCCATAGCGAGGCCTTGAGGGTAGGTGATGGGAGTGAGCTTCTTCTCTTTCAACTTTTCAATGGTGTCCTTGTCGTCTCTCAGATCAAGCTTAGTCCCAACGAGAATTATGGGAGTGTTGGGGCAATGATGTCTGACCTCTGGATACCACTGTTGAGGGGGAAAAAAAAGCCACACGTTGAGCTTCCATTGAACACAAAATCATTCAATTGGTAGAGGAAATGTGCACAATATACATGTGCTAAATTCCAGAAATAATAACAGTATGCTAGTGTGCAATTTTCAAACCTAACCTATGTTTTACCCGTGGATAAACACCACAGACTCATTACCAGCAACAGCAAATGTCATTTGTCACATTTTACAGATATAATAGTTTAAAAGAACCTTCTGTCTGCTTCATTACAGCATCAACATGCTATTTTGAGGCTTTAAAATCACATTTGCTCAATCTGTCAAGCCAGACGACTATTTTTAGAGCTTCTTCCTCTTTTCCATTCATTGTGATCATTGCGAAAGTCGTCTACATTGACTAAAAGAACAAAATATCCAAGGGCCTGCTTACCTTCGCACGGACGTTCTCAAACGAAGCTGGACTCACAAGAGAGAAACAGATCAAGAACACATCCTAGAAGATATGAAAAACACAAATCAGACAAAACCCTCCTTTTATTCCATCTAATGTTCAACTATTTTCTTTTAGAATTATACGACTATCTGTAAAACACAGCATTGACTAGACTGTTGCATTAATGAACTGTAAATTGACTTCACTTGTTGCCCAAGTGAAACAGAGTAACAAAAAAAACACAGTGAGGTTTGTGCCTAGATGACAACAGCAAACAATTGAGCCATTCACTCTCACAGCCTTAGTAAAAGAGACAACGACCACACAGAGCAGCCATTAATGCTCTGAGCAACATCACTTTAGCCTGCCAGGAATCAAGACCTGGGCTATTTTTAAACATTTCACCATCCTAAGTCTTAGTGTTTATCACACATCCTAAGCAGTATGTCATCAAACTATTTGAGATTCTTCCTGCTCTCAAAACATAAAGGGATAGTTCACCCAAAAATTAACAATCTGTCATTAATTTCTCACCTTCATGTTGTCCAAACCTGTAAGACTTTCATTCATCTTTAGAACACAAGTGTAGATCTTTATAATGAATTCTGAAAGCTTTCTGTCCCTCCGCAACTACTTGGCTACGCTACGCACTTTGATGCTTCAAAAGTTCATAAAGTGACCATTAAACTAATCCATATAAAGTGATCGTGTCTCTTCAGAAAATTCAGACTAAACCGCTCAATTCATATGATGAACAGGTTGAATTTATGCTCTTATTGACATATAATCATTAAACTCACACATCAGTTGTGGTAGACGGAAGCTCAAGTGTGAACCGATTAGATTTATTCTCGTGCTACGCAGCCGTTCAAGCTTCAGAGAGAACCAGTGAGGTTTGTTTTCGCGTACCAAGCTGGTTCGGGTGAGCTTCTGTTTGTTTGCTGATCAATGTTTAAATGTGAAAAAAAGCCTCAATTCAGTCTGTTCATCATATAAAGTGATCAAGTCTCTTCAGAACATTTGGACTAAACCGCTCAAATGAACGAAAGTCTCACAGGTTTGGAACGACATGAGGGTGAGTAACTAATTACAGAAATGTCATTTTTGGGTGAACTATCCTGTTAAGGCAAAGAGTCACAATTCTCAAATGTTATCCAAATGGCTTTTTGCTGTAACAGCAAAAAGCCATTTGGATAACATTTTGGAAATAATGGGTCCACTGATAAGACTCAAATAAACATCTAATTTTTTATATATTGCAATACACCAGTTTCAGCTCTATTATTAATGACAGTACCGTCTGAGGGTAGGAAAGCGGTCGAAGTCTGTCGTAATCCTCCTGCCCTGCTGTATCCCACAGTCCCAAGTTCACCGGCTTTCCATCGACCATCACATTGGCAGAGTAATTATCAAAACTGAATGAAAGTTAATAGCATATATTTCAGAGACACTACAAGTGCAAACATTAAAATTAATGTGAAATGCAGCTTCATATCTGACATATTACATATTTTGAATAAACAGATTATTTCATGGTTAAACATTTTTTTTATCCATTGGGAAGAGACTACCAGGTAGATGAAGGGGAGGTGTTTAAAAAAAAGTTATGGTGGAGCTAGTTTTTTTTTTTTTTTTTTTTTACTTAGAATAACACACAGTTGAAACTCTCACAATAAAACCAGGACTGTAGATTTACAAAGTAGATGTTGGAATCAAGAACAGAAACAATACTAATGTAGGATTGTAATATAACTAATTATTAAATATTATAATTAGTAAATGTTATAATATAAATTGACAACATATTGAAAATCATTATTTTATATTTAATACTCATATTAATAAAGTTTTCTGTTTTACTTTAAAGGGACAGTTCACTCCTAAATAAAAAAAACTTCCAACCCTGTATGATTCTCAATCTGCAGTACACAAAGGGAAAATATTTTGAAGAACACTTGTTTGAAAGAAATGGTGGCGAGTAAATAATGACAATTTTCATTTTGGTTGAACTGTCCCTTTAAGAAACTCAGGTTAAGAATGAGGTCGCCTTACACAGTGGGAATGTACTCCCCAGGAAAAGCATTGGTGGTGTAGCTGATCAGAAGGCATGTTTTTCCCACAGCCCTGAGGGAAGAAATAAAACATCTCAAAAATCACCAATTACACATCTGATTGTGTGATATAAATTGATACCATCTTCTATATTTGCTTTTCAGCAAAACAATGATTCATATCCATATTAAAATGAACTAGGGCAAAACATTATTTTAAACATGACACTGCATATGAATAATAGAAGTGGGTTTGGTTGACTTTATTAATCACTGCAGCACTCCCACACATTCAGACAGACAGCATTTGCTCAAGTATACTGTATGACGTAACATTTAAAGGAAAACTCTTAGGGAAGGGCTAAGGTTAGTTTAGCAACACCGTGCGAAAAACACTAATAAAACAGTTTGACTCAGTCCACAAGTACACGGACATTTAAAAGCTTAAGTCCAGAATCATTCACAAGTACTTTTCGCTTCTACATAGTGGAAAACAGATTTAATGAGCTATAACGTTATATATAAATGGGAACTTGTATTCGTCTTTGTAAGCTACCTCTCATATGTAAGTTAACTAACTTGTATAACTTAACGTTATACACATAGCAGTTACATAGACGTGATTTTAAAATTTCTGTGAGCTAACGTTTCAACACGCACGAAAAGTTCCCAAATCAAAGGCCCTCAAGTTACCTAAACTCAAAACACAAGAGAGCAAACCAAGAAACGGCTGATACCTGTAAAACATTATTCCAAGACAAATATAATACTGAAAAAATGGGAAAACTCACCCGTCCCCGACGACCACACACTTTATGGCCTGCATCTGTGTTCACTTAGCACGCTATCCCGCTAGCTTTATCTGTGAATGAATTAATAAAAGCTGACCTGACCGGGATGACCCGTCCTCAAAATTCAACACGCACAAAACAACAGATGAGTCGATAAAAGTTGAGCGATAATGTGAATTTTCGCTAAAACTCGACGGAGTAAAGTTAGCTAGCCGACCGCATTCCAGCGCATTTACTTCTGTTGTTGCTGCTCCAGTTAAACAAACAGCCACCACCCTAAAATCTCAGTCAGATCCCGGTCTACACACACATATCCCGACCCGTCCCAAACAATAAACACACTCTCTGCTGCCTCTTGGTGGACTGGAGCGGATCTACGTCTCACACTGTAACCGGGAACAATACAGTTAGTTCGATTATGAATATTATCAAAACTTTCATGCCTTGCATGATCGGAAGTAACTGTAGTTAATTTAATGCCTGATTCAATTCCAGTTAAGGCTGTATAGATATCTAAGTTATAGGCTATAAAACAATAGTAACATAACATGTAAAAAATGTATGTAACATTCTCCCTTTTAATACTTTGGTCAGTTCAAGAATAAACGCAATTTTAGATTATTTATTTGAAATAATTTAAAGAGCAGTTTCAAGTTGTATTGGTCAACTGGTCGAGGTTCATATGGGATTTAGAAAATAATTAGTAGCCTAATAAGTGATTATAAGTAATGTGTGTGTTTGAGCTGTCGGACTCTGAGCAGCTCCAGAAGCGAGTTCGAACTGTGGTGACATCATAGA